GCCTGACAGTCCCCCCCCCCCCCCCCCCCACCCCGACATACTTTTGGTTTCGGCACCAGCGGATTTGCATATTCATTTTTTATTTCTTTAATTAAGAAATTTTAAAATACAAATCAATGAATTTAAAGTTTTGTTTTGACAGAAAAAAATGTGTACCTTTATGTTGTTTGCTTAAAAGTTGTGGAATAAAAAAAAATTAATGTTTCCCCTAATATGATGAGTTATTGTGATTAAAAAATGATAATTGATTACAAATAATAAGGATTAGCATTGAATTAATCATTCTTGAAAAAATATATTTTTTTTTTATTTTGAAAAAATATGACTCTACTAACCATTTCCTCCTCTTGCTTACGCCGCTGGTCTCTCTTCTGCTGCTCCTCCAGGTCTCGTTTCTCCTGTTGTCTGCGATGATTCTTCAGCATCTCGTCGTGGAAGGAGCGCGGGGGAGGTTTGTTGTGCTCGCTTAGGAATCCTTGGATGTGGTCTGCCAACTCGTAAATCATCACCTGGGTGTCGAGGGGCAGGCTTACAAGTGTCAGAAAAGACGTGTACGTTCGCACACGTGTGTGTGTTCACTCTCACCTCTCCGCATCGTGCCGCTGCCATCTTGGTGAGTTCGCTCTGGAGGGTCTGCAGATGATCATTTGACAGACCTTTGACATTCAACAGCTCCAGCTCTGGAGGCCTACAGAACCACCATGGAAAATGATAAATGCTTGCTCTTCAGACATCGGCCCATCGAAACAAAAATACAATCCATTCCAGGAGGCTGTTCAACCTTCCATCCATCCATCCATCCATTTTCCGATCCGCTTATCCTTACAAGGGTCGCGGGGGGTGCAGCAGCCTATCCCAGCCGTCTTCGGGCAGTAGGCGGAGGACACCCTGAACCGGTTGCCAGCCAATCGCAGGGCACACACAGACGAACAACCATCCGTGCTCACACTCACACCTAGGGACAATTTTGAGTGTTCAATCAGCATGTTTTTGGAATGTGGGAGGAAACCGGAGTACCCGGAGAAACCCACGCGGGCCCGGGAGAACATACAAACTCCACAGAATCCGGACTTGGAGTTGAACCTCTGTAATGTGAGGTCGACGCGTTATGCATTTCTTTAGAGGGCTGTTATGACTGTCGGACCATGTAAATGTATCATCGGCTCATCATGTTGTTACATATTAAAGCTGTCACAAATTATGTCAAATATTGTCATGGAACAATGTACTTATTTTCAGATTTTGCAAACAATTTTGTCGCCGCCAAAATTGAGATTTTGTCAAATAGCATTGGTGAAGGGGGGGGGGGGGGGGGGTGGAGCGA